TACACCTTAGGGGAGCACTAAGGGTCTGTAACCCCATGCAAGAACATGGATACTCCGATGCTACAGCGTCAAGAGAGAGAAAACAAATTCTTGCCCTAGGAGAATGTTACTTGGGAAGGCAACTTTTCAACAAACCAGTTACCAGGCAAGACCTTTACATTACAGACTTACCGAAAGCTAAGTAATGTGAATTGGAACAGTTAGTTCTACCACACACAACTGTGTCTCTAATTAGTCTGTCGAGAACCGGATCAGAGCAAAGTTGTATTTTGAGAAATGGTGCAAAGAGCATGTATCTGCACAGCTAGTGAAAACTCATCACTGATGTGTCTGAAATACAACATGGAGGCCTGTTGGGATCCAACATGGGGTCGAGCACACCAGGTGCTAGGTCATACATGATTAGCGATAGAACGACCCATTTGGCATGCAGCTCTGTATAACGGCAGACCCGCAGAAAGCGACTCCCTGGCGCAGCAGTTGAACAGCTGTCGCAGTGCAAATGACCAAATGGGTGCACAACTTGTCTGCAAGAGACACAAGGCACACCAAGTCTGAGGTGCTGCTTTACCGAACTCAGGGCGCTGGCAGAAACGTGGGGGCTACACAGAGTCTTCGTCACACAGAGAGAAAAGAAGAGTTGATGATGCACTAATACGGAGTGGTTCTTCAGGTCAGACCCAAAGAGCTCTGTGTAACTCAAAAGCTTGACTCTTCCACCAACAGAAGTTGGTCCAAAAAAAAAAAATTATATCGCCTCACCCACCTTAGGGATTCATGGCCACGTGACATAGCTCAGCAAATCCAGCACTGATTTGTCATGAGCAAGTACTACTCCACTCAAACTGCTTACCCCAGTGCCGTTCTGCTCTGCCCTTCCACATCAACAAGGGAAAGGCTACCTGCACCAAAACTCCGACACTAAACAAAGACTCCGATCTCCATCTGGGCAAGCTTACCTGGGTGGGGAGCGGTCTTCTTTCAAGACCATCGCTCGAAGACATGGCACAGCTATGCCCAGATTGAAAAACAGAAATGCTAGCCATTGTAGAAGGATTGCAGGAGGTTTTGTGGATAGGTTAGTGGGCAGAAACTGGTTGAGGTAGAAAGACCATAAACTGCTGGAAGCTGTATAACAGAAGACATTGGCAAGAAGACTTCAGCAAGGGATCAAGCACCGAAGTGTGAAATATAAGCCCAATAAGGGGCTTCATGCAGTGCCCCTGCTTTCAGGAACACCTGTATACAGGGAAAGCAAGGAACTGCAGCAGGAGTTTGAAGTAAATACGACTCAAGCACTACCCACTTGCCAGACAGAATCTGACAAGCAGAGACAGAGTGACCCAGCCTCACACCTGCTTGGGAGAATAACTGTAGATGGAGGGCCAAGAGAAAACACTTCTCAGGCACTCCAGCTAGAGGTGAGATTGCCACGTATGCCAATATTCAGTACAGAGGACACTGTGCCACGTCACCACAGCAGGAATCAGAAACAGCGTAATCCACAGTGCCCATCTGGGGATTTGAAGGGTACGAACTGAGCCAGAGATGTGCTATGCTGTCTAGGCACGAATGCTGCCAGCAGAGACCAGGTACCAAGTGTGACATCTGCAATCAAGTGCCAGAGAACCACTGAGAACATGGGAGTCCTGACCATCCTTGGTCCAAGGGTGGCACAGCTCTAGCTGCATGGAACAGGAAAGACGACCTCTTATCACAGCCTGCTAGTCAGCTTTTCAAACTGACCTGTTTCGCAACACACCGAGTAGCAAGAGAACATACATTTTAAAGTACCAATAACAGCGCAAGATTAATGAGCTGCTCATATTGACAGTTCTCCAATACACCTGTTCCAGTACTGGTTGTCTAGCCCTTGTCAGACACAGTCAAATGGGTTAGCAGAAGACAGTACAAAGAGCAAAGAACTTGGTAATATTAAAAGCTTCAGTAGGCTCAGGGACCCATCCGTAGCACTGTCAGGTGTCCCGGCACAGCTCGCCAGTTCACACACTCCTGGGCAGAAGGACAAAACCCTCAGTGCCCACCACTAAGGAGCTCCTTGGGCTACAGGCAATGAACCCTGGCACAGTTACAGGAGAGCCGTACGCCAGGAAACTAGACCAGACGTAATACTGTTACAGGAGTGTCAAACGTCCCATCCCCCTTGCAAAAGAGAAGCTGGCCAGCAGCCTGTCAAGCCCCATGGATCCCACCTCCCCCAGCCATAGGTCAGAGCCCCTCCGAGAGCCAGTCCTGAAGCAGGAACAGAAGAACCTGACTAAAAGCAATTGGGACCTAGTTTCTGTTCCTTGAGGACATTCCGTATGCTGCTGATAGTTGTACACAGTCACCAACCAGGAATCACCCTGGGACAGACCCCCAAGTGGTGCAAGCTGGAGTCAGCAAAGCTATGCCCATTGATACCAGCAGATAATCTGGCCCATCAGCAGAAGCAAACAGGCACCAGAGGACATAACCATCTCAGTAGCCAAACGTGCCACTGAGGGAGAAAGTGCTCCAAGAACAAGCGGTTGTGGGCTCAGAAAGCCAATGAGATTCTGAAGACAGCTGCTTTAGACACATGTCCAGCAAACGGCAGACACATCATACCAGGTGATCTGCCCCGGCCTAGAGATCTCCATTGGTGTGTTATTAATTAGCTGCATTCATTTACGGCTATTATATTTGGTGGGGTTTTTTTTTTTTTTTTTTTAATTGAAATGCAAATAAAAGGGGGAAAATGTTACAGCAGCCACTGCATCACCAGATCCTGACCTCTGCCATGTGACAGGAATATTACCCTAATAACCCTAACCTCCTCACATGACTAGAACTGGGAAGTCAAGAGCACTCTCTGACCATATGACAAGGATAAAGTTGTCAGAAGCATGAAAAAAATTCATTAGTACAATCTGATAATTTAAAAATATACCGATGTAATATGGCAAAAAGCATCCCTCTCTTCTGGGGAAAAATATAAATACACAGAGAACCTGATCTCAACTTCCACTTAAATCAGAAAAGCTTTGCTTCAGCCTTGCAATGGGAAAAGGATCAGATCCTGGACGAGACAGCCAGTCTGAGCCCGTGCTGTAATGAAAGCAAGCCTCCAACGGCAAACCTTCCACCGAGCATATAAAACCTAGTCATCTGTGTGCCTGCGCCGAATCCAAAATGTTCAGAAGGGCCTGAGGAGAAGGCACACAGCTAGGCACAGACACAGTAACGTGTTTAGTAAAGGAGAATGTAAAGCCACAGACAAAAAGAGATGGTGACTAGCACAGAAATATACTCTACAATGGAGGAGTGAGAGCCCAATCCAAGTCCCCCTGGTCCATGGGGTCCTTCCGCTGGGCTCATTGATTGCACTGGGCATTGGACTGGGCCCTTAAGGAACAGATTGGGGGAGGGGGTGAGAAAGCACTGGAAGAGGGGTATTTCCCCAGCAACTCCCTTTACTGTAGGGACTTGATCCTGCTCCCACTCAGGTCAGTGGAAAGAAACCTCCGTTGACCAGAGTGGAGCAAACTCAAGCCATAGGTGTCAAGAAGCAGCTGATGGAAGCTGCTCTCTTTCTAGCAGAGCTTTGACTTTCTCCAGCCTCCTTTCCTTGTACCCTCTTTTTCTTTCTGCCACCCCCACTTTTCAAAGACATTTTTAGATACGAACCAACACACACACACAAAATATCAAATTCCTTCCATTCACCTAGTAGAAAGTTAGGACCCAAATTACAGGCAGCCTGCCCCAGTAGAAAGAAGAGACCATTTGCCGGGTGGGGATTACAGACAACGGTCAATGAGACGGAAGAGCACAGGTCGCAGGCAGGGCATAGGGAAGTGCCCCTCTGCTTGTAGCAAGGTAGGGGCAATGCACTCCACTTTCCTGGAACCCCTGATCAGTACCAACAAGGGGGGATATGGAGCAAGAATGCCAAGGGCTCAGCACAGTGGGAGCCGAGTGCTGGGGAAAAACTGGCGTATAGAAGACCGGGCTGACTCTGTAGAATGGCATTACTCTGACAGCAGCCACACTCCTTGGGAAACTCCTTCGCCACCTGCCTGGGGTTTTGGTCTGGTTCTTGTCTCCATGAACACGGTCCCACTAAGTTCAAATCCCCCAGCAGGCTATTTTTAGGGACATGAGTAAACAGCATGTTTTGCTTCTGCCTCTAGCATTTTTAGTGGGCTGATTCCAGCAGCGGCGCCAGAGGGGCCGGAGAGCCCAAACTGGTAACTCTTTCGAATGATTTTGCAAGGCTATGTCAATTCTAGTGAGGCAGGGCAGCCCTGTGTGCCTCTCCCTCCCCCAAAAACATACAGGAACGAACCGTCAGGTGTGTCCACATAGTTTCTCATCCCATACCACATCTAGCACTTTGCCATGTAGGTATCCAGCCCAGCCTCACCGCTGTCTGTCAGGCCAGTGAGACCTACAGCCCCAACCCCCCATACAGGGAATGCAGCCCCTGTCCCCATATGAGGCATGCAATCACCTCCATAGCACCCTTGTACTGAACAGGCAGCATCCCTCTCTCAGGCTCCCCTGCCCCTCCATATCCCCCTTATTGCATACAGGCCCCATTGTTACAGCCCCTTCCCCTGTCCCATATAGACCCTCACCTTTGTCTCAATGCCACCCCATACAGGATATGGCCTCTAACCCTCAGCCTAGTTCCCTCTCTTCAGCCCCACATGGGGCACACAGCCCCTCATATGGGGCCTGCAGCTCTGTTGCCATAGCCCCCAAAGAAGATGCCTTGCTACCCAACCCTCTAGATCACTGCCCGGTCTAGGACAAGCAGACCCCGTCCACAGAGCCCCTCCTTCCTCACCTCCATAGCCCTGATCACCCCTTACAAGACCCCCCTCACCCTGCCGCAGTGCCCGTCTCTAGCACCCCGATAGAGAACTCAGATCCCCTTCCCCAAGGCTAGGAGTCACTCCCCCGCCTCCGGTCCCTCCAGCCTGCAGGGCTCCGCCCGGTCCGCACTCCCCTACCTCCTTGCAGGCGTGCAGCTCCCGCTCCTCGCCCCGGCTCCCCTGGATGGCGGCCCCCGCCCAGAGCAGCAGCAGCAGCAGCAGCAGGAGGCGGCGGCGGCAGCAGCAGCAGCAGCAACCTGCGGACGGACGCTGCCGGCCAGCCCCAGCCATGGTGCAGCAGCTGCGACGGTGCTGCGAGGCGTCAGCGGGCTCAGGTGCAGCCACCGCGGGGAGGCAGGAGGACGCCGGAGCCCCGCCCAGCCCCGCCCCCGGCAACTGCCGTCGCGCGCACCTGGGCCACGCACCTGCGGCTCGAAAGATGCGCCCACGCTGCGCGTGCCAAGGCAGCCCCAGCCCCACATGCGCACCGAGCAACACGCCGCGAGGCCAAATCTGCGCTCTCCTGTGTGCAAAGCCCCGGGCCCGTCTGGTCCCCGCCTAGCTTTGTCGCTCTCCTCGTGCAGATTTAGTCCTTCCTGGAGGCGCGCACTGTCATCCTTTAGCCTCAGCATTAATTACCTGTTTTTGCACATTCATTCCCCCCCCTCCCCCGTTTAGTCCCATGTAGGTTTTCGCACTCAGGCCTTTGTTCTGCCTCTGCGCCGCGTGTCTCGTTACGCACATGGGCATCTTCCCTGCAAAATTAGATCCCCCCGCCCCCCTTTGCAACAGCCCTTTGCTTGGCCCGCGGATTTGGGTGTAGCCCCTCTACAGCTTGGGGAAGCAGGGCCATGCAGTGCCCAGCCATGTGTAACAAAGCGAGCGGGGGGTGGGGGAGGAGGTATGGCGGCAGCAGGTTTTAAAATAAACGCTGTGCAGGCTGGTGCTTGGCCCTTCCAGGCGCAGTTTCCATCCATGCCTGAGTTTCTCCGCATCTTTCCTTGCAATCTTCCCGCACAGTCCTTCCATGCCCAGCCCTACAGCCCAGCGCAGCCCCCTGAATTGCTCTCACCCTCCCTGCAGGCCGCCCCGCCGCGCTGCTCTTTCCAGCCACCAGGGGGAGCCCCAGCGCCAGAGCTTCCTCCTCGGAATCCCTGGGGACCGTCACCTGGCAACCGCGGCCGGGCTCGCAAACAAGCCGCGAGGAGCGCTGCTGTTCCCGGCGCAGGATGCCGCCCACCCGGGACCCCTTCCCCTACCCCCGCTACGAGAACGAGGACACCTTCACGGGCCGGGCCAGGTCGGGCCAGGTAAGATCCCCGCCCCCTGCTGGGCTGCCCGAGTTCCTACCGGGACCTTCATCGGCCTAGCTCCGGCCGAACCTGCACCCCGCTGCCAACATGCAGCCACCTCTGGTAGGAACAGGGCAGCTGGTGAGCAGAGCGGCTGCTAGGAAGGGAAGGATCTAACTTGGGGAGACGGGATCCAGAATCCAGTGTCTGTTGTGAAAGATTTAGCCTCAGTTTCCCCTGTTGTTTGCCTGCAACTTTCACATGGCAACAAACTGGCGGGGGTCAGGGGAGAGACACTGCCTGAAACTACTTTTGACTCCTTTTATATATATAAAAAAATGCCTGGCTTGCAAGTCAGCTGGGTCTGCAAACAAGAGAAGTGAGGCCAGATCTTCACTAGCAGAGGAGCAAGGAATCTGAGTAGGCAGAAAGCAGCACGGGGTTTCTTGCGGGATTTAAACTATGTCAGAGGTTTGGCTTGGGCAGTCACTGGAAAGGGCTCTGGGCCGAGGAGGGGGGAGAACAGGAGTTACCTGTTTGCTCTGATGGGCAGTGGCTTTCACTGCCAATTATTTGTAGCCCCCCCAACAGAGCAGTACAGACCCCATAGCTCTAGGGGCTGCACAAACACAGAACAAGATGGTCTCCGTCCCAAGAGAGCTGTTATGGCTCCTAACAGCCCAAATGATGCCAGAGGTATAAACCTTCCTTGTTGCACCAGTATGACAGGTCTAGGCAGTGGCCTCCTGCACAGCCCTGCTGGCATGTAGAGGATGGGGGGCAGTGGATCCCCAGGCGTCCCAACTGCTTGCAGTCAAATCAAGGTTCCCCTTGCACCAGGCTGGGGCCAGAGGGCTAACTTCCTCTACATACAGAATCACCCACACCCCCACTGGAGTAGGGAGTGGTGCAGGTGTCCGGAGGATGCCCTCATGCCAATGGCAAAGACCATCTGACAGCTGGTGTTCAGAGCATGAGTGGCTGACTGTTGTTTGTTCCAGACAGGCCCTTATGCTGAGCCCACCCACCTGGCCCAGCAGCAGGACCCCTGGAATCGCCTGCACGGAACACCCACCCTGTCCAGCACCAGAAAGGAAGTCTGGTATACAGAACCTGAGGTAGAGGCCCCCCAAGTGCCCCTCCGTGCCGCCCTTTGCTGCTCCCTCCCCCTCCTCACCATCCCACATCCTCTGATTACCCTCCCGCAAAAGGCACAGCCTGAAATAGTCCAGAATTAGCAGATACAAGTTCCCCAGTGCACAGCCATCTCCTCGCCCAGGCTGGGCAGCCACACTGGCCGTGCCAAGGGCATAGTAAAGCCTTTCACCCGCAGCTGCATTGGTTTCCTTTCTGTGCTCCACTTGCTCCTCTGGGCTTTGCTTTCTGTCCAGCAGCATCCCAAGCCATGCCTATGTCATGTCCCCACCCCAAGCAGCAGAGAGGATGCGCGTAACATCCACGTTGCGAAGCATCCTGGACACCTCTCGGAACACTTTGCAGCTCTCTAGATGCTCTCCAAGTGCTTGACAAACATTAACCTCACCTCGCAATCCTCCAGCCCTTGGGCAGAGGTGGATTAAGATTTACTGGGGCCCTGGGCACAAAACACCCCATTAAAATCCCAGGCCTGCCTACTTTTTAACATGGACGTAGTTTGGGGGCAGGGGGCCACGTTGCCCCCTCAAACCACAACCCCGGGTAGGCGCGGAGTGGTACCGGCAGAGGCTGTGCTTCGGGGGGCGGAGGGGGGTGGGGGGGAGAACCGATAAAGTGATCAGCTCCCCCTTCATGAGGGGCTGGCAGCACCAGCCTCTGTCCAAGGAATGAGGGGAATCTTAGCCACCCCTCCGCATGAGAGCCGGCCCCTCTCCATGGCCCTGCCCCCTTTCTTCCCCCTGGAGGCCCCGCTGCCTGGTTGGGGTAGGGGTGTGTGGGGACACGGGCCAGTATTCTGCTCTCCAGCAACCTGGCCTCCTGCCCAGGGCAAGTGGAAGATTCGGGGCTCTCCACAGCAGCCTGGACTGCATGGGTGGCTCTTACCACCACCTGGCTCTCGCTTCCAGGCAGCCTGAGCAGGGGGCAGGGCCTGGGGGGGGGGGAAGAAGAGGAGCAGGGGCAGGGCCACAGAGAGGGGCAGGGCCTTATGCCTCCCCTCTTCTACCAAATGTTTGGCACTCTTGCTGAGGGCCCCCAAATTGGCTGGGCCCCTGGGCACGGGTGTTGATCCCCCACTTCCCTTGGGTTAGATCTGTGTTACACAGATAGGGAAACCGAGATGCAGAAAAGTAAAACAACTTGCCCAGGGTGTGATGTTATAAGTGTAATAGAATATCTCATTGAAAGGCGACAGGGCCAGAAAGAGTTAATTAACTCACAAACTGACCTGACACATGGCCGAACTTTAGAGACTGGTTAGGAAGATATGTAAATGAATAGAACTTTGAAATACAAGTCTGCATTGTTAGAAATAGAAGGGTAGATTGATTGAGTGACCTCAGCTGACTCCCACAGGCAGCATTGTCACAGTGGCGTAGTCGGCAGGAACTGTGACGATGCTGCCTGTGGGAGCCAGCTGAGGTCACTCGATCAGGGTCAACTGCAAACAGAACAGGGAAAACAAACCCCAAACACTGGTGGATATTCCAATACTTTGATTTACGAAGCCAGCACAAAACAGCTTCTATAGTACCTCACTGGTTACTCAGAAGTCCAAATAATGCAGTTCCCTTAAAATACCCAGCCTCAGGCCTCCATCCAGACACACATCAGATATGATGATGATTACTGAAAATCTTATCTCATCATATAAACTAAAAGGTTCTTCCAATCCCAAAGGATCAGCCACACACCCAGGTTCAATTATAACTTAGATCTTACCCAAAATACACGCTTATAGCCAATTCTTATTAACTAAGCTAAAATGTATTAAAAAGAAAAGAGTGTGTTGGTTAAAAGATCAATATACATACAGACTTGAATTCAATTCTTGAGGTCCAGATACACAGCAGAGATGAGCTTGTAGTTGCCAAAAGTCCTTTTAGAAATAGTCCATAGGTTATAGTCCAATGTCCATATTCAGGGTGACTCCGATCAGTGACTGGGGATCTCAATCCTTGTGGCTTAAGGTTTCCCCCTCTTGAAACCTAAAGCAGATCTGAGATGAAGAAGGATCGTGTCCCAGGGTTTTTATACATTTCCTGCAGCCTTTTGGCCTGAGAAAACAATAGGCTTAACTCTCCTTCTCCCAAACATCCTGGCAATTAGCACAGGGTAATTTATCCATTAAACAGTTCAGATACAGGTTACCACAATCTTCAAAGAGACATATAGACAATAATACTATTTCACTTAAGTGTCTTCCTAAATGTTAATATTCCTTTTTTGATCTTTGAATCAAAGCTATAGCAATAGACAAGACTTGTTTGCTTACATCACAGGACCTGAGCAAACATCTCCCCTTCTACCTCTAACAATGGAGGCTGCATTTCAAAGCTCTATTCATTTACATATCTTCCGAGGGATAGCTCAGTAGTTTGAGCATTTGCCTGCTAAACCCAGGGTTGTGAGTTCAGTCTTTGTGGGGGGCTATTGAGGGATCTGGGGGGAAAAAATCTGTCTGGGGATTGGTCCTGCTTTGAGCAGAGGGTTGGACTAGATGACCTCCTGAGGTCCCTTCTAACCCTGATATTCTAAAGTTCGGCCATGGGTCAGGTCAGTCTGTGAGCTAGTTAACTCTTTCTGGCCCTGTCACCTTTCAATGAGATATTATATTACACTTATAACATCACAACAGGATCACACAGTGCGGCTGTGGCAGAGATGAGAGAGTAGGACTTAGGTGTTCCAGAGCTCACTGCTCTGCTCTAACCACTCAGACCCATCCCCTCCCCAGAGCTGGGTGCACAGCTCTGGAGTCCTGACTCCCTGACTCTAACCAGCAGAATAACAGAGAGAAAGTCTTCCCTGTGTAACTCCCCACAGCCAGTGAATGCAGCAGAATGTAATTTGTCCCCTGCCTCAGGTGAAGCCCTCGCAGCACCCAGGGATGAGGCACCTTTACCAGGCTTGTCAGAGGCTCTGTCTAGTGACTCTCTCTGAACCCTTCTGCAGGTTCCCAGAGACAGCCTGGATTTTAAGCTGACCTCACTCTACAACCACCACAAGGAGCAGCTCAGAGACAAGAGCCAGATTGTCATCCACAAGGAGACCCTCTTGGATGTCCATGGGTGAGCAGGAGCAAGCGGCCTTTTCTCGATCTCAGGCAGGGCACAGCCTCCTCTGGGAGCAGCTATTGGTGACAGTGAATGCCCCAATCTGCTCACAGCTGCAAGGCTGTTTGCCCCATCCTCTTTGGGGGGCAGAGCCAGGGCTACTGCAGTCCTGGGGCTGACTTCGCTCGTCCCCCCTTAGCCTCAAGGAAGTGTGGCCTAATGGTCAGAGTCAGTCCGACTGCCCTGGGCTCTCTGATAGGGTGGAACGTTAAACAGTCTAGGGTCTGATGGCCTGGTTCAGCAGACGAATGCAAGCCTCTTGGCCTAAGGTGGGAAGACTGCCACCCTGAGGGTGGGGTTGGCAGCAGGGGGTAGGAGAATCCAGGCCCACCCTACTCCACCAGGTCCCAGCCTAGGGCCCTAACAGTGGCAGAACCTACCGCCACTGGGTATGGGGGGATCCCACCACAACACAGTGACAGCATTCAGCCTAATAGGTCATCCCCCTGAGCCACTTCCTACCCCATCTCCTCGTGTGGTGGTCCTGGCATCCCCAGCATCCCAGGGTTCATCAGTGTGGGCAGTTCCCAGCAGCTCCAACCCCTCTTGGGCATCTTCCATCACATCTAGCTTCTGCGGTCTGGAGATTCATCAGCTCCTGCATCCTTCCTCTTCAGCGGTCAGCCCCAACTGAGCTGAGTTGCTCCCTTTTATACCTGGGTTCCGAGTGGCTCAGGGCCGTGGCCTCTTTGGCCCATAGGGTGGGCTTAACTCCTGCTGGACCAGTGAGGGGCTAGCAGGAGCACCGCCAGCTTTTTTGCCGTCCTAGGCGGCGGAAGGTCCCGCCCCGAAATGCCGCCCCCCACAGAGGCGGCGGAAGGTCCCACCCTGAAATGCCACCGTAGTCGCCGCCCCCCAAATTGTAGGTTGCCTAATGGGTTGCGCCGGCCCTGGGGGCTAGTGTGCCCTGTCACAAGCCTACATCCTGCAGAAGCTTCTGGCCTCTTGGCTTGTGCGTGGAGGAGGTCTAAGCATAGGTTCAGTGGTGCTGCAGGGTCACTATGGGGAGGGAAGGCACCTCCCTGGCAGCAGCTCCCAAAATGACCCTGCCCCAGCAGCTCACCTTCAGTCAATACAGATGAAGACTTCAGCTCCTGGTTCGCAACTTCTGCAGCCATCTGACCCAATCAACCAACTGTACCAGGCAGTGCCCAGATTCCTCCGCATTCCAACCCACCATCAGCCTTGCGCTGTGCCCACTTACCTGGGGTTTGGAGCAGCCCAGACTCCAGTGCATGGGAGCTGGGCACCACCCTGGGGCAGAAGGGGAATGGGGTGGGGCAGAAGTTCTCAGTCACAAAGTCCTAGTATTGGCACGTAGCCCAGCATGCTGCTAGCCCATCACAGTGTTGGCAGCACCAGGGACGGGGAAACCTAGGAGAGCTGGTATGGACAGGTCTGATGGTGCCCCTGGTACCACAACAGAAGAGTGGGGTGTTTGAAGTTAATGACTAGCGGGGGGCTTCAGAGTCCATATGCCGCAGCTAGTTACAGAACAATGCTACAGAGAGACGGGGTTACAGCCTAGACCCAAAAACGCAGGACTCCTGGGACAGAAGAGCTGCTCTGTTTACCTCCGGTTTGGGCATTCGAGGCTCATGGGAGGGTAGCTCCTTTGAACAGCCTGCTGCCTTGCCTGGGGCTCCTGCCACATTTCTCCCCAGCAGCACAAATCCTGGCCCTGCAGAGCATTACGTAAACTCAGGGCAGCCCTGACATCAGCAAGTCACTTGGCCAGCACATGCTTAGGCACTACCTTACCTGCTGTCTACCTCGCCAGCTTGCTGGGTGCTTCAGGATGAGTGGCATGGCCTTGGTCACACCGACTGGTGCTCTGAAAGGGCTCCATTGTTAGGCAGCACACTGGTGAGTCCCCACTAGGTACCAGCTGATCACCGGGATGCCTGCGGTTTGTAGCTAATTGCACTAAGCGCCTGTGCCTGGGATACAAGCCAGCTGGAAGGATTCCATGGTAGCTGGTGGCAGCCTCTTGCTGGACCAGAGAACAGCTACCAATGCTGCATAAAAGCTAATGGACTCCTGCTCAGGAGAACAGAACAGAAACCTCAGCCTGAGCTTGCTTCCTCAGTCCCCCACGCCACATCCTCCTAGCTCTGCCTCCAGCTCCCCAACCACTAGCCACCCTGCCCTCTTCTCATACGCTGGGGTGGTAACAAGCTGAACTTACCTCTGGGAGCCAGCAGAACTTATTCGGCAGCTTTTTAGAGGCGTCCAATCCCTGTGGGCCTTGGGGGGGCTGTGGCAGAGCCTTGTGTCCCAGAGGCACAATCACAGACCCTGGCCACAGTGTTACTGTTAATTGTCAATTTCCCCCTCTCCCTACAAATGGAGGAGGAGGAGGAGGAGGCGGCAGAACCAGGCAGGATATTGTGCTCTTTGCAGTGTTGCCAACTGTTGTGATTGTATCACACCTCTTGCAATATTTGGTGTTTTTCCTCAAGTCCCAGCTCCTGGAGTGGGAGATTCTCAGTTTTTATTTAAACAAAGTACATTTCCAGCTCTCCGGGCTGCAGAGAAAAGCTTGGAAATGTGCCCTGAGCTTGACCAGAGAGGCTTAGAAAGCAGGAGGCAAAGAAACCCAAAAGCATCATCTGGAAAGTCTTGTGGCTTTGGGGGGGGCCTCGCTCCTGACTTTTGAACCCTTGGGGCCAGTGATGCTGCACCTGACAACAATCAAGAGGCAATTAATACATGCAAGATGACCACATTATCATTACCATGGACATGTTGCCACAGGGGGAAGAAAGGTCTGATCAGGTTTTTCCCCTTTGAAAGCTCTCAGTCCTGCAGTCAGACCCAGTAGCCTGGATAGCTGCAAGGAGCGGCTGTTCCCTTTGTCAGGAGCCCTAAGCGAATGCACTAAACCCACCCAGATGGTTCTTTGTGTTACCGTAGCGCCGGGGGGCACAACCAGAATGCAGGTGGCATGGTGCTAGACATGTACCTAGTAAGAGCTGGCCTCTGCCCCAGGGAGCGCAGAGTCTGGAATTCTAATGCCTCTCCCTCCCCTCCTGCCTACTCCAGAGCACTGAAGGGTCTCGAGCCTGTGAAGGAACCCGAGCTGCCCCCAGTGGAGCACCGTACAGCCAGGGGCCTGTCTATGAGATGCTGGGTCAGCCCCACAAAAGAGTCGATCCACAGCATTGAGGGAGCCATCGGTAAGGGCAACAGGCAGCTGCCTGTGCCTCCATCTTAATGGAGATCAGCCAATGGGATGGGCCTCAAAATGTGTCGCAGCCCACAAGTTTGAGAGTCTGGGAGGGTCAGGGACAGGCTGGCGGGGCAGTAACAAAGGGGCCACTCCCTTAGTGCGGGGTACTGTGGAGGCTGTTCCTCTGCACTGCTACCGTCACAGCCACATGGGGATCCCAGCTCCAGTGTGGCTGTGGTGTGGGGCTGCCTGGGCAAACCCTGTCCTAGCTACGTGACAGGAACTATTCTGCAAGGATCAGTGGCTGCCATTACTTATCGGCAGGACCCCAGGCAATGAGGCCCAGAGATTAGGTGGCTGTCTATCTGTCAGAGGCACCGAGTACCCACTGAAGAGACTCTCCCAAGGCCACCCAGTGAGCCTGTGTCAGAACTGGCGATGCATGAGGCAGCATGACCTTATGGATAGAGCACTGGCCTGGGAGTCAGGAGACCTGGTCAGTGCCACCCACCTGTGTGACTTTGAGTGAATCATGGCACATCTCTGCCTCAGTTTCCCCATCTGTATAATGGGAATAATGATGGTTCCCTTCCTTTGTGACATACTTGGAGATCTACGGCCACCATGTTAACTACTAGAACCAGAGTCCCCGTTCACTCCAGCGTGAGGCCCGGCCTGATGCCACCTTCCACACTTGGTAGTACTTTGTACTCACATGACTTTCTCCTTCCCTAGAATGTCCCCACACAGCTGCCACCAACAGTGGATACTCCCGCAAGGAGAACGGCAGCTTCTTCTCTCAGTAAGGAGTTTGCTGGCTTGTGCCCTGGCTGTGCGGCTCTGGACCCACTTCCAACTTGAGTGAACCTTCTTCTGTCTGCTCTGTGTGCATTAAACCCCTTCTGGTCAGCAAAGCTCGTCCAGAAAAACAGCCATGAACAGGGAGAGATTTTAATTTAATTTCAATCTTGTTTCCCTGTCCTCTTTGCTGCATTCATCCCTCCATGCTGGGTAACGTGGGGTACACAGCATCGCAGCAGGCAATACTGACCTTCGGGCATCAGCCCAGAATATGTTGTGCTACCTCTCCACCTCCAACATGGCTCCAGTCAGCCACCCAGGCCGGTCCTCTAATTCTGGGGGCCCAACTTGGTGCTCAACACCCACAACCCCCAATAAAACCTGTAGGAACAGTGGGTAACCAATCAGACCCTTTATTAACTTGAGCTTCCAATAATCAGGGCTCCTAAAATTAGAGGCTGTTTTCCAGAAGCTGGCCTGTGGGCATGAGCAGGCACCGCACGTGGCAGCGTGGTGGTTTATTCATTAAAGAACATTGGGGCATTCAATAAACTGAAAAGGCGGCAAATTCCAAACTAATACAAGGAATTTTTTTTTCACACAATAGATACTTAGCCTATGGAACTTGCTGTCACAAGAAGTTGAGGCCAAGAATTTGCAAGAGTTTAAAAGGATTGGGGATTTTTCTATGAAAATGAGAAAATCCAGAGTAGAGTCAATTCTGGCAGGGATATTAACCTTCCTGCTGCAGGGCTCAACTCATCTTTATTAGAGACCAAGATGAGACCTAATGTGGGGGCAGATTACCCCCATTCTGCTATCCTAAGATTCTTACACCACGCTGTAAAGCAGCTGGGGCTGGGCACTGCCAGAGACAGGGCTATATGGAGCCATGGGCTGATCCGTGCTGGGGGTTCTTATGCGCCTGCTGTTTGGGGATTAAATCATCATGGACAGAAATCCAGCTTCCCCACAAGATGCTTTTTAAATGATTTGTTTGGTCTCTTTCATGGCAGCGAGCTCATGCCTTGGCTCTGCCCTCTTGGGAAGAGTTGCTTTTCTTTGTCCTTACAATGGTTCCAGCATGGCTACACATATGTTGATCAGGTGTCATAGAATCATAGAATATCAGGGTTGGAAGGGACCTCAGGAGGTCATCTAGTCCAACCCCCTGCTCAAAGCAGGACCAATCCCCAGATTTTTGCCCCCGATCCCTAAACTGCCCCCTCAAGGATTGAACTCACAACCCTGGATTTATTAAAATGATGGAATCATGGGATGCTGCCATACATCCTCTCCATGGTGAGCAAATAGTCTTCAGCAAGGTAATTCAGGCCCTATGCGTAACACTCAGCACTAGCACATCTCCAGCCTGGAGCTTGAAAACACACCTGATGCTCAGTGCCGGGCAGCTAAAGGAGCCATCCCCCAGCTTTCTAAAATGAGCCAGTTTGGGGGAAACCCAAACCAGGTTCATTCATTAAATTACCAGGTTAAAATAACCCAGATTAAGTGGATCTATAGTGGGGGTTTACACCTGCGCAATTAAATGGATTATTTATACTGGTGCAAAACAGCCATGTGCAGATCAATGGCTATACATGACACATCCAGCCTCAGGGTCAGGCCATAGGTGAAAGGAGTTTGATGATCTCAACTCTACAGCTGCTTTATATTTGACTGAACTCCTCTGGAGAATAGTTGGTCTCAGAGTAGGAGCAGCCAGTCAGAGGTGAGGTGAGTAGAGTGAGGCAGATAAGGCTTGACAGAATTCAAGCACCTTTCCAATGTGGAAGATGCTACTGTAGCACTTGCCTGCATTACACCTCACTCACACCAGCAGCTGCTCATTTCCCCCTCCATGTATGCCTCAGGAACAAGAGACCCACACACCAGTTTACTGCAGCTGTGGATCAGCTCCAGTGTTTATTCCTCTGCACTCATTGCTGGGCCAGCCCTGCGTCAGCCTGCACAACGGGGAAAGCGCAACTGTTGGCTCACTACATGATTCTTCACTTGTTTGAAAAACCCTGTAGTTTCCATTAAAAAAAGTTCCTCTCTTGGCAATAGAAGAGGATGGCAGCAGGATGGATGGGCGGCTAACTAGCCTTCCAGAACCATGGCTCCAGCCAAATGTTACAGCAGCCAAAGGTGTGAACCTCACCACCCCCAATTCGCTTCAGTGCCACGTTAACCTCCAACTCCAGGCAGGGCTAAGGCACCTCTATGCTACAGGGACTAGCACCGCAGCAGGGGGGTTCTGACTAGCATGTCCCCAAGGCCAGGAGCTAGGTTGATGGACACTTTCTTCCATTCACCTTGCTGTGTCTACCCTGGGGTCGGGCGTGGCACAGCAACAGCGCTGGAGTGTGGGTTTTGCACACCTGTGAGTACCATAGCGATGTCAACCCAAAATGTAGGCCAGACCTCAGCAGAGGAGAAATCAGCTTGTGGTTTTGTCGCAGAGCTCCCCTCTGACGGGGGGAGAAGAAGGATTGGAACAGGGGTCTCCCACCTCAGGAGCTTGCCCAAATCCCTGGGCATTCTGCTGTGGGTCTCCTTCAATCTCTGAAGCCACTCTGCTTTAGATAATTAAATGTGAGTGGTGCATGGGGACTGGACCTTGGCTGTCCCTGAGCTAGAGTCAGTCTCTCCCTGGCCCAACACAACTTTCATAATTTAGCCATAGTGGACCAGTTTCAAGAAGAGGGATTGAGAGAAAACCACATCTCAGTATCCCCAGCCCTGCAGGCAAGATGGGCAGCTGAATTCCTTTGGGACTTAGGCAAGAGACAGGCATCCACCCCCCTAGAGGGAAGCAGCAACAGGCATCCAGGAACTTCACCCTGAAAACCAAGCAGGGCACCATGTTCAGGCTCAGTGAGAGTTCTGTGGATTACAGTGAGCTGAAAACTGGGATGTAGGAACCTGAATGCCAGCCTGAGCCCCCCCAAGTCCCTTTGTGAATCTGAGCCTTCATGACTTGCTTTTCCTGGAGTAGTGAAGCTCTCCCTGTGAGAGGCCACCAAGAGGCTGCTTCACCTGCTTGTATGGGGGTGACATGTATTACTACAGCTCATCAGCTCTTACGCAGTCTCACTGAAGTCAACATGCTCACTCAACTGTGCTAAGGGCAGCAGCCCTAGGGACTGGTTCATAGGATCAGGCCCCATGGTATGTGTGGTCAGAATGACACCTGCTAGGGTCTTGCCAGTGAAGCAGACAGTACCAGAGGGGTTCAGAGAGGCCACTGAAAGCATGCTCTGGGAGGGAGAGCTGAGCTAGATTTCAGTGCCCCTTTAACACCATTACGTTTTAGTGATTGGGGGGTGGTAATAAGCCGTTGACAGAGAACCTCAGTCACTGGGCATTGCTGTGTTTCTCCACCCCCTGCCTGAAACCAGCTTGCTCTCACACCCATTTCAGCCCTGCTCCCCACATTTGCTGTAAGATCATCCCCATTACCTTCAAGCTGTTTGCACTAGGCTGTGCAATGCAAGTGTCCCCAGGATACTCCTGAGCTACTCCTCAGCTTGACAGAGTACTGTGCGCCCAGTGCTGGGTGTTCACACAACACACCCACAATACCAACCCGGTCACCCCAGGACACACATGCCAAGCAGGAAGCAGGATGGCCTTGGGTGCCAAAACAAAAACATACTCCCAGCAATTGCCCTGGAAGGGCCAGAAGTGCAGGAAAAATAACCAAAGGGTGGAGCCCTTGAAGTGGTTTTAATACTGAGAGCTATAAACTCTTGTAGGAGCTTTGAGCAAAGACCATCTCCCCCCTTCCTCTCACCCCAATTACAGTCACCCATTAACCTAGGATCAGGATCATTTATTTTCTTTGGGAGATTATTAAGCTACTCCAGCCTGCATGCAATTTGGGGAGCTGCACACCAGAGATTACAAAGAGGATATTAAGGAGTGGAGGGTAGCACAGTGTGGCTCAGATTTTGAAAGCTCAGTTCCCTTCACAGCACTAAAACAAAGGGCCAGATCTTCTGTACTCTGCATGTTGAGCCTGCTTGAAAACCTCCCCCCATTGAGTGCAGAGCACATCCAAGTGTGGGCCTGTTACTGGCAAAGCAGCGTATCTAGGAGCACTGCTTAAGTCTAGCTAAATACCAGAGCCACGCAGCTATATCACCATGTGGCCAATGGGGCAGGATAACAACAGGCTACCCCCAGCCACCGTGGGCACCACCACCACGTTTAAATGCAGATTTACAAGAATTTTATTTGTTTATTATGAGTTTGATCCCCATCCCCTCCAAACCCCCCGCCCAGCAGGAAGCCCCCAGAGCCGCATGCATTCTTTAGGAAGGAATGAAGGGCCATGTGTTCCAGGGACAGATGGAGCCCAAGCTTGGCTGGGGCTGCTGGCCAGACACCGTAGGGCTCCAGGGTACAACGCTTCACAGTGAACACAGCGGCCCAGGCGGCTCATTGAGTCGGCTGCTCGTGGGCCCAGGAGTGTTGATCGGGGTCTCCCCGCGTGCAGCCCCAGGCAGGGCTGGGAAGCTGCCCAGCAATCCCGCTCCTCATGGGCCTCCCGCGGGCGGCTGGAAGGGGAGTTACTACCCTGGCGCGACCCTGTGAACAAAGCCACCAGCGGCTGCTCTGCAGCACTTGCTCCGCGCCCTGAGTGTCAGCGCTGCGCTGCCCGGAACCCCCCCGGCTCGCGCCGCGCGCGCGCGCACACACACACACAGCATGGGGCTCGCACCGCGCCCTCCCCCCACGCTGCCCCGGGCAGCCGGGCTCAGATCAGAATCGCCTCGATACTCATGGGCCGGGGGCTCGGGCCAGCGCGGACCCACCCCGCAGCCTCGTCTATCTGATCGACTCATCACCTCTGAGCGCCGGGCGGGCCGGCTGCGGCCTTCAACTCTGCCCCGCACAGCGCCCGCAGGCTTCGCGGGAGGGGTCTTCTCATCTCGGGCCGGGCGGCCGCCCCCGGCCCGATCGAATAAGATCAACGTGTAGGCGAGATCCCAGCAGGGCCGCACGCTGCACACGCACCCCACCACCCCTACACACACACACCCACACCCACACCCCACGCACGCTCAGATGCACACTTATTCCCCGCACACTCACACTCCATTCGCTCCCCTGCAGGGCTCCGCGTGCGCAGCGACTCCCTTTTATACAGCCTAGGGCCGCACTGCATCATGGGAGCACCAGCTGCCTCCATAAAGCTCTCCCCAGACGGGGCCGCGGCCTCTCGGGCGCCCTCTTCGGCCGGGATGATTCCACGCAACCCTCCCATGCGAACCGCTGCTTTTCACCTTCAGCTCCTTTTGCCCCCAGCCAGGACCGGGGCCGGGTGAGCGGGAATCGGGACATCTCCGCATCTCCAGCCAACAACATCATTTTAACATAACTTAGAACCAAGGATTAGCTGAAAACATGTTAGTTTGAGGGGAGATGTTAACACACTAGGAGACTTAAACATCCCATTGGCTCATCCACACTACAGAAATTCTTCTGCAGAACTGGGAAGGACCTTAAACACCTTCTAGCATCAGTCCCAAACCAGAGAGTGGGCAAAGTCCGCAGAGAACTACCGGCAG